ACTGTAGACAACTAAAATTCTCTGGGTGTAAGAGGAATGATGTTGAGAATAAGGAAGAAAACATAATAAGAAGACAATCTGTGATTGTCAAAATGGACAAATGTCATAAATACCTACAAAAATGGTGTGAGGGCCTTGTCCGACTTCCTCCAGTGTCACAAGGGGGAAAGGGAATCACAATCCATATCAGCCCAAGGCTAATTCCTTTGAGGTGAAGGTCAGACATGCCTCCACCCTCCATCCTTCTTTATCTGAAACCAATTGTTCCTCTCGGTGCACTTTGCTTCTCTGCTGGGTTGAATACTCACAATTATGGGGTTTGTTAGGGAAGTAAACAGAGTACAGTTCAGGATCAGAAACAACTAAGGGTACAGCAGTTCTGTGGTCAGGCGTGCCTTTTCTCAGCTGTACCACAGACACGCCTTTCTCATTCCCCACCTCTCAGCCACATGTCCCTTTGTCCTCTGTTCCACTCAGGCAAGTGTTACAAGCTCCTCTAGCACCCCATTCTGTATGCCAGCCTCCTGCCTGAAGGCACTCAGCTGTGCTGCATGGCTCTCCTTTCTTGATGATTTTGATCCTCTGTTTCTACTTTTGAGATTATTTCTTTAAAATCTAGCAGATTGGCAAAATTAATCATCCCCTGTGTCAAACTGCCATACTTCCTGTTTGTATGGTCCCAGTGTGGTGCTGTGGTAGCGTAGTGGTTATGAATTGAGCTACAAACCTCCAGGTCAGCAGTTCGAAACTACCAGCTGTTCTGCTGGAAAAAGAGGAGGTTTTCTGCTCCCGTAAAGATTTACAGCCTCGGAAACTCTGTATAGGGGTCGCTGTGAGTCGGAACTGACTCCACGGCACATAACCACCACCACCAGTGTGGTGCTGTGGGTTGATGAGCTGGACTGCAAAGTTGGTTTGAACTGCAAACTCGGCGGTTCAGACTCACCAGATGCGCCTCAGAAATCCTATACAATGTGGCTATGCGCTGGACTGCAAGGTCGATTTTAACAACAGGGTGGGTAGTTCAAGTTCACCAGCTGTTCCTAAGAAACCCTATCTATACAGGGTCGCTATGAGTCAGAACCGACTCAACAGCACTTAACAGCAACAACCCAATCATTTGGTGGGAGTTACAGGCTATAGTGGTGGTGGTTGTTGTTAAGTGCTGCCAAGTCGGTTCCGACTCATAGTGATCATGTATGGGGTTTCCTAGGAGCAACTGGTGAGCTTGAACTGCTGATTTTGCGGTTCAAATGGACCTTGCGGTCCAGTCCATGAACCCACAGTGCCACACCAGGACTCCAAAGACTATGGTTGTTGTTGTTGTTAAGTGCCGTCGAGTCGGTTCCGACCCATAGCGACCCCGTACAGGGTTTCCGAGGCTGTAAATCTTTACGGGAGCAGAACGCCTCATCTTTCTCCCGCGGAGCCGCTGGTAGTTTCGAACTGCTGACCTTGAGGTTTCACAGCCCGATTCGTAACCACTATGCTACCAGAGCTCCTTAATGACTAATAGCGACCCTGTGAGGTTGTAAATCTTTACAGGAGCAGAAAACCTCATCTTTCTCCCACGTAACAGCTGGTAGTTTCAAACTGCTGACCTTAAGGTTTGCAGCCCGATTCGTAACCACTCGGCTACCAGAGCTCCTTAAAGACTATGATAGGAGAGCCATAGCTCACTGTATCACAATATTAAAAAAAAGAGGAAATAGATGGAAACAGTCTAGACTCTTCTATAGGGGAAAGTGTAGCTAGAAGACAAAGGGAAAAATAGTTTCTTGGTTTCCAGTGTAATTAATATTATTGTGAAAAGCATTAATTTCCTTGCTGGAAACACAGTGATTTCCTTGCTGCTCTGGAAAAATGTGAAGACATTTTCATACAAGTCTTCAATTTTAGAGATCTTAGCAGTGTGGTTAAAGGACATTAGACATCTGGAGACCTGGGTTCTTGATCCAGTTCTGTGCTGACTAACTGTGTGACCTCAGGCCAGTCGTTTTCTTTCTTTGGGTCTGTTTTTCTTTATCCATAAATAAGGAGGTTGAATACTAGTTCATTGTGTAGGGCAAGGTCTAAAGCACCATACAAAGTACAACAATTGTTTTCTATTTGCCTGAAGTAACAGAGCAAGGAGTGTTGGGAATAAGAGCAGGAAATAGAATGTGAGGCCAATTGCCTCTATGGACAATTGCTGTCTTTGCCATGAGACCAGAAGAACTAGATGGTAACTAGATACATCCCTGAGACTATTGCTTTGAGATAACCTTTAAGTCTTAAGTTAAAAATAATTGGAAATCTTCTAAAAACCAAATAACAGTTTAGCTTAACAGTTTATCTTAAGAATGTCTGCCTTGAGCCTTAAGCTCCTTTAAGAGTTATTTTCTATGGAATCAAACTGACAACAGCAACTTGAAAGATTAGATGGGAATCTCAGGGGGCAGTGACTGTATGTTCATAGGGAAGGAACAACTTAGAGAGGCAGAATGACAGTGGTTACACAACTCAAAGAATGTGATCAGTGTCACTAAACTGTCCATGTAGAAATGGTGGCATTGATATATGAGGGGGCTTTAGAAATTCATGAAAATAGAATGAAAAGATAATGAAACTGTTTCACAAAGTTCTTGAAACCCTTTATAGCTCTGCTGTGTATGTTCTCAACAACAACAATAAAATAAATTGTATAAAAAAAAGAAAAAAAAAAAAAGAAAAAAAAATAAGGCGGTTGAATGAATAATTTTCAGTCTATTTAATCACTCATGTATAGTAGTAGTTGAAGACTTACTGTGTCTATGCCAGACACTATGCTTATCCTTTCATTGTATGATCGATCATCTGACACCTAAATTGTTCTCATGAATGAAGCTTCATGTGGTCAGCATTTATTTCTTTACTTTTTCCTAGTCTTGCTGAAGATTCTGCTGTTAATTTTTATTTTGAGCAGATTGATTCAGTTTTTGGACTTGGTGGCTCGTTACAGATGCCGGGTGGGCGAGAACTGGTGGTACCGGGGTGAACACTGTGAGGAGTTTGTGTCAGAACCCTTGTTGATTGGCATCACCATCGCATCTGTGGTTGGACTGCTCCTCGTCTCGTCTGCTGCCTTCCTCATCCTCATCAGGACTCTTAAAGCTCAATATGCAAGGAGAGAAAGAGAGATGCCTTTCAGGTACATAGACTTCTCTGATGGAACACAGTATTCTATTTATTATTTTCCTTTAGTACTATCTATGTCGGACCCGACTCGATGGCACTTAACAACAACAACAAATGTGCAAATATTGGACCAGGAGCTGTGTGAAGAAGGGAGAGCTATAAAGTTGGATAAAAACACGGTTCCTGGCCTCCAAAGGATGGCAGATTGAAAATAAACTAGCATAAAATAACGTAAGTAGCAGTATGAGCAAAGTGCTAAGGAGCCTAGATGAGGGGTGAATTAGTTTTTATCTGGGAGAGAGTGTTACAATGTTTAGTTTAATATGGTTGTGATATTTCACTGAATTGGTGAGTAGAGGTTTGCTTGGAGCAGGGTGAGACGCTTTCTAGCTAGTTGAACATAAATAAGCAAAATTGTGGAGGTATGCATGAACCTCAAGGTACACTGAAAGAATGGCACGGTTGAGTAGTCAAAATGCCTATTTCATGGTGGTGGTGGTGGGGCAGGGGGATTCAGGGAATTGATGGGATGAGGTGGAAAGGTGTTTCTCTTATGTAAAGAATCAGAACTCTTATAGTTTGCTCCCCTTTGACTCTTATTAGTGACAATTAGCCAATTTAAAATCTAGGTAACACTCTGACAGAAGTCCTGGTGTGGCATTGTAGGATAAGCACTCAATTGCTAACTGCACTAAACTGCTGCTACTTGGAAATCCTACACAGTGTTACTATGAGTTGGAACCGACTAGATGGCACTCAACAGCAATAGCAAGATTCTGTCAAGAAATGAAATTTCTCTCTTTGTTTGATTGATCATGGGTTTATTAATGGGGATATAAAACATTTTCTATTTCCTAGGAATAGGGATCCAAGAACCTTTTGGGTTGTCATGTGATCGCAGTTCCTAACTGTACTTTCAGTTCTTCTAAAGTCTACAGGAACTCCTTCCTTGGATGCTTTCCCTGACCTCTGGTTGTGCAAAGGAAGCACCTGTCCTGGGTTCTTAGCATGCCAAGAATGTCCTTCTACTAGTGTTCTTATAGGAACCCTGGCAGCACAGTGGTTAAAATTCTAGGCTGTTAGCAGAAAGGTTAGTGGTCCCCACCAGCCAATCCTCAGGAGAAAGATGTGACACCCTGCCTGTGTAAAGCTTTACAGTCTTGGAAATCCTAAAGGCTAGTTCTAGTCTGTGTGGTAGTATTGCTGTGAGTTGGAATTGATTTGATGGCAAGTAGGTAGTGTTCTTACAGAAGCCCTGGTGGCGCAGTGGTTAAACTGGTCAGCTGATAACTAAAAGGTTGGCAGTTCAAATCTACCAGCTGGTCCATGGGAGAAAGAAGTGGTAGCCTGCTTCAGTAAATACTATAGCTTGGAAACCATATGGGGGAAATTTTAGGGTCTTAGGATCGCTGTGAGTTGGACTCAACTGGACAGGAGTGGATAGAGGAATGGGTATGGTAGTGTTCTTACACATTATGTTAATTCTGACTTTGCCTTAGACTGCAAACTCATTTAGGGTAGGAATTCGAACAATTCTCTCTCTTTTTTAATAGCATCAGCATCTAGAACAATCTTAGACTCAATGCTGAATAAATAATTAAACATCTGAATTTAATTTAATTGATGCCTATTCTTGTTGTTATGTTCCATTGAGTCGATACCAATTCATAGCAATATTATGCACAACAGATCAAAACACTGCCCAGTCCTGCATCAGCCTTATAATCATTGACATGCTTGAGCCCATTGCTGCTGCCACTGTGTCAGTCCATCTCATTGGGAATCTTCCTCTTTTTGGCTGATCCCCACTTTACCAACCATGATGTCCTTCTCCAGGGACTGACCACGCCTGATAATTGCACCAAGTGTGAGAGACGAAGTCTGGCCTTCCTGGCTTCTAAGGAGAATTCTGGCTGTACTTCTTCCAACACAGATTGGTTTTGTTCTTTTGGCAGTCTAAGTGCTTTAAATAGTCTCTTCCAAGAAAATAACTTAAATGTCTCAATTCTTCTATGGTCTTCCTTATTCATTGTCCAACTTTCATGCATATGAGGTTATTGAAAATACCATGGATTGGGTCAGGCACACCTTAGTCATCAAACTGATATCATTGCTCTTAAATACTTTTAAGAGGTCGTAAGGCAGCAGATTTGCCTAATGCAATGCCACTTGATTTCTTGACTCCTGCTTCCACAAGTATTGATGGTTGATATGAGCAAAATGAAGTCTCTGACAACTTCAATCTTTTGACCATTTATCTTAATGTTATTTATTGGTCCAGTGGTAAGGGTTTTTGTTTTCTTTACATTGAGGTGCAACCCATACCGAATGCTGTAGTCTTTAATCTTCATCAGTAAGTATTTTAAATCCTCTTCCCTGTCAGCAAGCAAGGTTGTATCATCTGCATATCACAGGTTGTTAATGAGCTTCCCTCCAATCTTGACGCCTTGGTTTTCTTAATATAATCCAATTTTGGGGATTATTTGCTCAGCACACAGATTGAATAAGTATGGTGAAAGAATGCAACACTGGCACACACCTTTCCTAAATTTAAACCATTCCATGTCCCCTTGTTCTATTTGAACGACTGCCTCTTGGTCTATATACAGGTTCCTCATGAGCATAATCAAGTGTTCTGGAATACTCATTATCTGCAATGTTGTCCTTAACTTGTCAAGATCCACACAATTGAAAGCCTTTGCATAGTCAATAAAGTACAGCAAACATACTTTTGGCATTGTCTTCTTTCAGCCAAGATCTATCTGACATCAGCAATGATATCCCTCATTGCACATCCTCTTCTGAATCCAGCTTGAACCTCTGGCAGTTTTCTGTCATGTATTGTTGCAGTCGCTTTTGTATTCTCTTTATCAAAAATTTACTTGCATAACATATTAATGATATTGTCCAATGATTTCTGCATTCTGCAGGGTCACCTCTTTTTGGAAAGGGCACAAATACTGATCTATTCTAGTCAGTTAGCCAGGTACTTGTCCTCCAAATTTCTTGGCAGAGATGAGTGGTTGCCTCCAGTCCCAAGTCAGTTTGTTGAAAGATTTCAATTTATAGTCCATCAATTCACGGAGCCTTGTTCTTTGACAATGCCTTCAATGAACCTTGGACTTCTTCCTTCAGTATCATTAGCTCTTAATTGTAAACTACTCTTGAAATGGTTGAACATCAACTATTTATTTTTGATACAGTAACTATGTATTCTTTCCATTTTCTTTTGATGTTTTCTGTATCATTCAACATTTTGGCAATAGAATCCTTCAATATTTCAAGTCGAGGGTTGAATTTTTTCTTCAGTTCCCCCAACTTGAGAAATGCTGAGCGTGTTCTTCCCATTTGGTTTTCTAACTCCAGGTCTCTGCATATTTCCTGTATAATATTTGACATTGTCTTCTCGAGCTGCCCTTTGAAATGATCTGTTCAGCTCTTTGACTTCCTCATTTCTTCCATTTGTTGTAGTATGTCTACACTGGAGAAGAAGTTTCAGAGTTTCTTCTGACATCCATTGTGGTTTTTTTCTTCTTTGTTGTCTTCTTCATGACCTTTTGCTCTCTTCCTGTATGATGTTCTTGATGTCATCCAACAACTCTTCTGGTCTTTAGTCATTAGTAACTAAATAATGTATCAAACCTGTTTTCCATATGATCTCTAAATTCAGGTGGGGTATGTTCAGGGTCCTATTTTGGCTCTCATGGGCTTATTTCAATTTCCTTCAGTTTCAGCCAGAACTTGCATATGAGCAATTGATGGTCTGTTCCACAGTCTGTCCCTAGCCTTGTTTTTTCTGATGATACGGACGTTTTTTTTAATGAGGTTTATGCCTTTTCCTTCCACAATAGAAATCTTATCATATGTAAATACTCTTCCAAATAGTTGAATACTTAAAGGAGAACATGAGTTAACAATGTCTTTCTGTTTTGTGTCTCCAGCAGGCAGTCTGACAGCCTCTCATCGATAGAGAATGCCGTGAATGACAACCCTGTGTATGGAGGTCATAGAGCTGGATATGAACAGTTTGAAGGACTATATCCCCAACATCCCAGCTCTAACTCTGCTAGCAAAGAAGTGATGGGTGGTCTGAGTAGGGAAGAAATCAGACAGATGTATGAGAGCAGTCAGCTTTCTAGAGAGGTAGGAAAGAGTTGTAATTGCTACTGTGCTGCTGTGTATGTATGTGTGTGTATTAGTATTGGTGTATCCATGGGCTTCAAGAAAGGATGAAAGTATAAATGATTAGGTTTTTTACTGGCATCTCCCTGTCTATATGGAATGCAGAGGGCAGAAGATTCAGAGGTTTACCTTAATCCTTACCCTGTTCTCTCTTTTTCCATTACCATTAACAAAATAACTTATCTCTCCCTTTGCTTATCTTTCCTTCCCTTCCTTAGAAAGGTTAGAAGAATAACTGTTCTGAGTTATTCAGAATAGTACATGTAGTATCTAAATGTTCTGTTTCTCTACAATGGACCTCTTGAATGACTCAAGAAACCATAATTTTTTATAAAAGCTAAAATTCCTTGAAAAGGGAACTTGAGGTTTTTCTAATATAATATATAGCTTCTTTTTTCTTTTGATTTTCAGGAGAGGATGAGAATTTTGGAATTGTCTGCCAATGATCCTGAGTTTGCAGCTTTTGTGAGGGGACATCAAATGTAAGTATTTGAAACAGCTCCTCTATGAAAGCTCTTAACTTGTCTCAGAGTAGTGCCTCCAACGTGAGCCCACAGTGCCTGACATCCATTAGACAAGAGTCCCAGTAGTAAACAGCATTTGTGGAATTCATTATAATTTATCATACACTTCTACAGAGATCACCTCATTTATTCCCCAAGTTGGCTTTATAAATTAGGCAATTCTTTCTTTTCCTTTTTTACTTTTTATTGTACTTTGGTTTAAAGTTTACAGAGCAAAGTGGTTTTCCATTCAGCAACTCATATGTATTGTTGACTTTTTAGATGAGGAAAAGGAGCCTCAAAGAGATGAAGAGACATAAACACAATTCTATCAAGTGACATAGAAGATTTGAAACTGAGATGCTGTCGGTTCTGGTCTAGGGATTCCTGTATATCATATCTTCTCTCTTGTTATTACAGATAACCACCTGTGATCCAAGGCTCTAAAATATTTTCATCCAAAGAAAATTTCTATAAATAGCACCTGAGTAGTCATAAATCCTCATATATTTTTAGCATATAATTTCCTTTCTAGCTTTACAGACACTTTCAGTATGCTTTTGATTCACACATCTCTTTGACGTGTATTTCTTGCACCTATCAAGTTTATCTTAACACTTTGTTCAAGTTTATCTTATACTTTACTCTTTGTATTTGCTTCTTTCAACATGCATTTTGGACAAGTGTCTGTCAAGTGGTATTTGTTCTCTTTTTCAAAATGTCTTTGTTTCCAGGATCCTCATCACACTTGTGTTACAAAAATGGTTATTAGTTGAATATAGAGGGTAGGATCCTAATTTGGCTTTGATATTTGATCCTGTTGCTGCCTTCTGAGAGAGGCTTGCTCATGGATGGCTCCAACCAGACTAGATATGTTCACTAGACTTTTAGAAGAGAAAAATCAGAGCAATTCATACATGATTGTAAAAGGAATTGACCGAGGCTCCTTTACTCCAGATCTTTTTTCCCTGATACATAGTCAATGTGTGGTCCCTCTCTGATAGGATGGAAAAATCGCTACCTAACAAAATTGGTGTGTTGCTGCAGGATAATACGCTGGACCATAATATGGGTGTTCAAATCCACCAGCCGCTTCTTGGAAACTATATAGGCTTGCAATGAATTGGAAACAACTAGCTGGCACTTAATAACAATAGCAAGAAAACTGCAGAAATACTTTTGTTTTTTAGAAATACTTTTATAATTCCATGTTCATAGCTGTTGTTAGCTGCCACTGGGTTGCCCTTGACTAATGGCAATTCCATACACAGTGGGATCCAACCATTATGATTTGTAGGTTTTCACTGACTGAATTTTGGACGTATATCATGAAGTCTCTCAGTCTGGAAGCTCTGCTGAACCCTGTTCAGCATCACAGCAACAGGTAAACCTCTACTGACAGATGGGTGGTGGCTACTTTTGAGGTGCATCGGCTAAGAAGTAAACCTAGATCTCCTGCATGGAAAGTGGAAATTCTACCACTAAACTACAATTGCATTCCCATATGCATGGTTGTTGTTGCTAAGTGCTGTCGAGTTGCGACGTTGTATAGGGTTTCTGAGGAGCAGTTGGTGGATTTGAACCACCAACTTTGTGGTTAGCAGTCCAGTTATTAAATCTACAGTGCCACACTAGGTTTGTAGAGACTCCTAAAAGTTTCTGAACATCTGACCTTGCCTTTGGGAGGTGCTGCCAACATTGCTGTCAGAACAATGTTACCAAGAGCCTATCTTTTAAACCAGGATACTCACTGCTCTCTGTATCTCCTGCCAAAAGATGCTTGAGGATTCAATATCTGGTATCCAACAGAAAGAACATGACTGTAGTTTTTGTCTTTTTAAAGACACCTTATGGAGTCCTGGGGTGGTGCTGTAGGATAAGAACTAGACTGCAAGGTTGGTTTGAATTGTAAGATCGACAGTTCAGCTCCACCAGCTGCTCCTTGGAAACCCAGTATAGGGTTGCTATGCGTTGGAACTGACTTGACGGCATTTAACAACAACAAGATACTTTATGGGCACTTCAGAGGCACCTGTCTGAATATACTGCCTTAATTAAATATGCATCTCACCTAAAGTAAAATGTCCAAAGCAAGGATTCAGAAAAGCCTAATTAGGAAAAAGAGATGGACTACATGCTTCATTTTCTTTTGGTGGATTGTCTGGCATTAAAGTAAAAATAGCCACTGATAACAAGGTTCTATTTTAACAACTCTAAGTCAGTTCTAGTATAAGTCGAATACTTCATTTCTTGTTTTGTTTTCATAGCCTACAATATGGCAGTGCTTTGAACAGTAAATTATAACATTGAATATTGAGTAAACATCTGAGAATGATAATATCACCAAAATATGTACAGCAACATTATATATTATACATATTATTAATAATATATACAAAACAAAACACACAGTTATAAGTATGATTTATCATAACTAGAATATGTTGTAAATTGGGAAGTACCTGCATATAAAAAACATTCATATAACAAAGACTTAAACATAAAGGTACTATGAAGCAAAAGAAAATTCATATAGATACTATGCATTTTAAGGGGATATTCATAGAGAGAAGACAGCATGAAAACTGTTATGTATAGGGACTTCTGGCAAGATATCTTGACAGACTTAATACATGAGCTCTCTACCACAAAGATATGAGAGACAAAATGAAACACAGAAGAAAATCCTGGAACCCTCAACTTCAGAGGAAAGGTCAGAAAGTGCTTGCTGGGAGGAGAAACTGAACAGAGATAGGGAGAGAGGGAATGGTCAGCCAGATGCTGCATTACCGTCTTGAACTTTCATGAGCAGTTTTGGTGAAAGAAGGTGGCCTAGCAGAGCAGATTCACAAAGGTGATGGGAAGGGTGTGACTCCTTGTTTTTCCCCAAGCTCTCCTGGTGATCAGAGGTGTGGTCAGCCTCCCCCCTCATCCCTTGGCAGTGCAACCCTGCTCTTCAGGAGTTCAGAGCCCTGTGATTATGATTGGGAAATCAGTGTGAGGCAGGGACCGACTGCATCATGTTACTTTCTGGATTCAGGCAGCTCAGCTCCAGACCTATAGAATTCACAGAGCCACCAGACTAGTGGTGGTTTAGCAGAAGCCCTCACAACCAGCCACCATGTCCCCAGACACTGAAACTAGTTCCATCAAGGGCCTCCATGAACTATTTCCAGATTGAGTGCCCAGAACTCAAGACCTATAGGAACTCCATCTAGGGCCAGGAACTTCACACCCACTTTGTGAGATCCTTGGCTGGATGGAGTATCCCAGAGTTTTCTCATCTCAGAATCCAACAGCTGCACTGATCTGTGTGTGTGTGTGTTTTCTTTCATTGTTTCATTGTTTTTGTTTGTTTATTCTTTCTTTTTCTTCACTTCTCTTTCTATTCCCTTGAATTTTATCCTATCTTCACTTTTGCTTTTCCTTCTTTCCTTTTGCTTCTCATTTCCCCTCTTCTTCCCCCCACCCTTTTTGATCTTTCTCTACTACTTTATACCCTTTTCCCCTTTTCATCTTCCCTCTCCCTGGTTTTTCTAAATTAAAAAAAAATAATTCTTTATTTCTCTCTTATTTTTATCTTCTATTGCTCCATTTTCCTGTCTCTCCTTTTTCCCCTTTTTTGTTGCCTGTTTTTATTACTTTGTCTTCTTCACTATTTTCTCTTTTCATTGTTGATTGCTTATTTTCTATTCTGTTTTGTTTTCTTGTGTGGGGGGACAGGCGAGGAGGTTTTTTTTTTTTTTTTTTTTTTTCTGTTTTCCACCTGACAGAAGATAGCAACCGTGTCCATATAGTCCAGCCATAACTATACCCTCTGCAGCTTTCCTCACTGGGCAAGAGCCAATATCAATTCCTATACCACCTGATCAACAATAGACAGTAGCCAACACTAGTCAAACCCACCCTAAACTGAGGTGCATGAATGGAGAATGAGAATGGTGCACACACTTCCATTCTTTAACTATACCTGCAGGGAACAGTTAGTGAGAGACTAAGAATACATTAACATACAGTAATCAGTTAAATACAAATATGGTAACACCACAATCCTAGAGACAACAGATACTTTTATCTCACATGAAGAAATAAGAGAGAATGGCTCCAACAAATAATCAAGATGCAGAGCCAGAAAATGTTTTTAAGAAAAGGCAATAAAACTAACTGATAAAGAATTCAGAAGAATGATATTTACATACCTTCAAAAGACTGACAAAAAGATCAAGAAAAGGAAGGAGAACACAGAAAAAGAATAATTCAGGAAAACACTACAAGAACAAACAGACAAAATCAATGCAACTTTTGAAACAATACAAAACCTGCTGTTAGAAATCCAGATTGAAAGTAAGATTTCAGAAATGGACAATGCATTGCAAGGGCAAAGGAGTAGATTGGAAGCAATTGAAGCCCAAATTATTGAGTTTGAAAATAAATCTTGTAATACTCTTATGTTACAAGAATGAAAAAATCTGAAGAAAGCCAAAGAAATATGTGGGACATGATGAAAACAAATAACATGGCTGATCAGAATTCCAGACAGGAAGAGACAATAAAAAGCACAGAGAAAATTGCCAGAATTGTTGCAATAAAACTTCCCTAACATCATGAAAGATGAGAAGACAAACACACAAAAAAGCAGAACGAACCCCAAACCTGATAGGTCCCAAAAGAAAATCACCAAGACATATCATAATCAAACTTTCTAAAATCAAGGAAAAGGAAAGAATTCTAAGAACAGTTTGGAAAAAACAAAAATGACCTACAAAGGAGAACCAATAAGACTAAGCTCTGACTTCTCAGCAGAAATCATATAGGCAAAAAGGCAAGAAATGATAAAATGCCAGCCAATAATTATATACCCAGCAAGGCTGTCCTTCAAATCCAATGACAAAATTAGGACATTTCCAGATACACAGAAATTAAAGGAATTTGTAATAATCAGGCCAACTTTACAACAATATTAAATGGTGTTCTTTGGACTGAGAACCAACAACAGTGGACAACAACCTGAGATCAACAAAGTTAAGAAAAGGTTTTCTTGATAAAAGAAACATTCTATAATGGTTAAGGAAGGAGGGAAATTATTCATGCGCTAGAGTATAGACACATGTTAACCTGAGTTACAGGAAAGACAATAAACAACAAACAGGGAGGTTGGCAGAGGAAAGATGAAGGTAGCAGGAGACACAGGGAAGAATGCAAAAGTTAAAGTGAATAGAGGTCAAAACTGTTAACTGTTGATACATGGAAGAGATCGCAATCATTGTAATGAACCAAAGTATATGATTTGTTGAATATGAAACTGATGATATGCTCTGTAAACATTCACTCAGTTCATAATAAAAGGTTTAAAATATGTTGTATACATATTCACATAATATAAACATCATTTTAACTTTTCACTTCCACTCAGAGTTTTCCTCTGCTAGAAGTCTAAGAAAATGTTAATGGACTTGATTTTGGATAGAGTAAAAACATTACATTGCCTTTTAGAGTGGATTCTTAAAAAGATTATCATAGCATAGAGGAGCTTCTCTTCAAAGAAACAAAATAGGATCAATGAATTTAAGAACTCAGCTGGACAATATTTTACAACAAAAATTCTGTTTTTGATTTTTCAATTAAATGCTCTTTGTGTTTTCATGGCAGGGAAGAGCTTTAACCAAAACTCCAATTTTGGAAATCGATTGGAAGCCTTGAGAAGTTGGAGATCACTTGTTACCTGCGTCATATAACTAACCTGGATTTTGAACTCTGCTGAAAGAAGAGATTAAAAATAAATAAA